TTATAGATCCCTCTGGCTAAAACAATGTCAACCCAAATGCGAAACATAATGTCTTTGGACAAAGAAAATACATTTACTTAGGTAGACAAACATGCCTGAAAGCCTCAGACAGAGGAAGGACAGCAAAGGGAGCAGAGTCCAACCCCTCCAAGCTGGTCCCTAGAAATTGTGTGCGAGGCTCTGCTTCACCTTTACTCATTCTTCCTGTTTTTCTTCTGTAGTTTGGTTTCATATGAAGAAGTGCTAAATCCAGAACAGTGAGTGGATACCATTTCTTTACTAACACTGAAGAGGATCCACAAAAGCTTTCTGCACCAATAGGAAAGAAATAGGCCAGGGTTTACACAGGCAGAGATATAGCTTGAATAATTACAGGACTCTAGTTTTCAAAACAGAGGAGATGAAAACTGCTTCTCTCCTAGAAGTCAATGCAATTACTTGCTTTAAATCCTTCTTCAAAAACCAGAAGCCCAACTAGAAAAATGTGGAAAAAAATTCAAATGAATTCTCACTGAAGTAAAGAATTGGAGCTAACTTTTGTCTAAATCAACTTTAAAAAACACAATGCCTGTGAAGGACATGATAGGAGCTTATATAAATATAAGCCATTTATCTCACATTCCCTTAAGTATAAGGAAGAACCTCAAAGTTTCACATTTGTATTTCCTACTTCTTTTTCATAAAAGCCCTTCTGAGTGTTGGGCTTGAAATATCCCAGTGCCACAAAAACTGTTAACCTCTTCCTTTAGCACTTTTAAACATGAAAAGACTTCTCTAAACATGATACTGAGGAGGTTACAAGCTCTGAAAAACCAAAATCAAAATTTTACTCAGAAGAAAGGAAATCCAGCTGACTATTTCAAAATGTAAATGCACTGAGAGCACTGACTGCATGCACACATGTCCAGACAGCCAGGTCAGCAGGCCAAAGTGTGCAGCAAGTTCTCCATCTGCCTTGACACTTATCCTGCTTATCTGGAGTGACAGTGGTCCTCACCCCACTTTACCTTTGGTTTTTTGTGTGCTGGTATTGAAACAAGGTAGACTGCACTCAGACACTAGTGATACTCTAGCCAAAGCTATCTCAGCTATGTTGGGTCACAAAAAAGTTTTACAGCTTAAACAGGCCCTTTAAAGTCACTGAACTAGAATGCAAGTAGTGCAAAATGCTATCTCAAGTCCACTAAAGTATTTTAAAGCTTTTATTGTCATCAACAGCTATCAGTAAATAATAAATTTATCTTACACAGCTGTACCTTTCTTTATATTATGGACGGGGTACTCATTCTGAGATACTCAGTGATGCCAGAGCAAGGAAGGGTTAAACAGCACCCTTTTAAAAAGTGAGTCTGGTTCAAAGGAAGCAAGATGCAGTAAAGTTCTACAGACAAATCTGATTGCAGTGAAGTTAATACACTGAGTAGGGGCACAGAAGTAGGCTAAACAGCGAGAAAAGGAAAAAAAAACAGAGTGAAGAAGATGGCAAACTTTCTTGGGCTCCTGACCTTTCAGAGTAAGTATTAAATAAAACCAATCTGTTTAATTCTCAGACAAGAACTTTCAACAATAACATTCCTTGGGTGTGCAAACAAGAAAAATCCTGGCCAGCAAAGCCTAAGAAGATTAGCATACAGTTTTTAAGGGTCCATTAAGTCCTTTCAACCACAGTCTCCCCCACAATTCAAAACTGAGTTGTCCTAGACTCAGCATCACCTTTGAAAGAAAACACATCTTTTCCTTGAAGCTGAGTTTGCCAGAAATCCCTCTGCTCCTCTAGCACGGCCTCAGGACCTACCAGAATAGCTGATGCAGCCATACAGTTCACCACAGGAATGCAATAACACGTGCACCAGGTATGCAGATACCACCCAGCTCTGAGGAGCTCAAGAGTGAAGTACCTCAAGACAGGAAGAGCACCAGCACAACCACATGTGGTATCTAAAGCCCAGCAGAACACCACATATACACAGGCATTTTCTGAAAATCTGTTACTACTTCAGCTTCAAACAGCAGCAGTAATGGAGATGCCAGAAAACGGAGCAGCCAGAGTATCCATGAGCACTCGAACCACCACTGCCACCCTCTCCACTTCTGGGAATGATGCAACAACCAAGTGGAAATAGAGTGTTACTTATGAAGACAAGGAAGATTTTTCCAGGCACATCTAACCCTAATTGGAATGTACAATTGTTCTTTTGCGGGATTAGAAGAATCCAGAAATCGAACAACCACACCCAAAGGATCTTAAACTGGAAGAAATGAAAGGCAGAGTCCACATGATTTGGAGACAGATGACAAATCCCAAAACCTCGGGAACCAATGCAACTAGTGAAAAAATGTATGGAATAGTTATGACACACCACAAATACCAGAAATGGCTGTAATATATATAAGAATAGTGTTTTCCTAATAAAAGAATCTGCTATCAGAAATCCTGCATAAACTAGTTTCTTCCAACATCCTAAGTGTAGTTCTTGCTTCCACCTGATGTTGCAATTCCACAGCTCAGGGAATGAGCCAGCAACTCTTTTTCACAATACTACTACTCTCTCAAGTCAGATTTTCCATAAACCAATTCTGAAACACGTATTCTCTAAAGCTCTTCAAATAAAAAGTCTCACACTAGGAGAGGGGGAAAAAATGTATGATGACAACTCATAATTTAGCCATTTCTAAGAAACCTGAAAATTAGCTGAAAAGAGATATGAGCATAACGAATGTAAAAGCAGGTTAGCAGAGTCAATTATGATCAGCTGGGAAAAACTAAATATATGATGGGTAATATGTTAATGGTTCTTGAGACAAAACATTACAATGGCATTTGTTGGGACATCTGATTCTATTTTATTTTTTTAACTAGTAAGGCAGCTCATTAGCTCAATACCATTTGGCAAATATCTGATGAATACACAAGTAGTTCTTTCCACGTTTTCCTCTCCCCCCTATACTGCCTTCAGTAGCTCTCTCCCCACGTTTTCTTCCTTAGACTTCCAGTTCTCTCTCCTCCCTTCCTCCACACAACCTCCTTCTCCGTATAACTTGTTTCTTCCCGGGATGGATTTTCACCCCCAGGTGCCTCGCTGCTGCAGCACCTGCGTGCCCGTGCACAACCCCCGCGTCTCGGCTGAGCAGGACCCAACTGCAGCGTCCCCACACCGCTCACCTGGGCACAGCTGGTTCCAGTTCACCCACAGCACCTGCGCTCACCCGCTCTCCACTGAGGAACAGCGAAAACACTGCTGTGCAAACACGCGACAGAGCTGCCAGCCTGCAGAAAGCGTGTCCTGGCCTCCTCCCCAGCGCACCCCGCTCCCGAGCCGCCAGACACCGTTATTGT